TTCCGTTAACGTCACATCACAAACGGTAGTATATATATATATATATATATATACCTGTTTATTGTTCCCTCTCCTTGTTCTCCACGCTAATGCGACATCTATTGGTGGCCACACTGCGAGAGTGGGTTATGATCCCCCTTGTTTGTGGATCCGCATAATAAAAACAAAATAAATGCATAACGCAGACCGGGCAAAATTATTACATTGGACAAGCTTTGAGGTGCTCTATTCTATCTCTCTCTCTCTCTGCTCTCTATGCATGCATACACATACATATATCAATAAACAGATACGCCTCTATGCTTTTGTCGGCGCAAGAATGAACTCCTTAGAGACGGAATTGGGGCTCCCCAGCAACTACAGGTTTGAAATTGACAAGTGTGTGAAACGCATCAAGGAGAAGAACGCAACACGTGTGGCGCTTCAGTTTCCTGAGGGACTCCTTATGTTTGCCGCTTCTATTGCCGACATACTGGAGGCGAAAACGGACGCAGAGATGGTGATATTAGGGGATGTTACGTATGGCGCATGCTGCGTGGATGACTATTCGGCGGTGGCATTGGGGTGTGACTTTTTGATTCACTACGGCCACAGTTGTCTCATTTCGATTAAAGACTGCCTCATCAGCAACATGATGTACGTCTTTGTAGAGATTGAGATTGATATTCAACACTTTGTAGATACCGTGCGGCGTCTCATATCTCCCGAGATGCGTTTGGCCTGCATTGCTACCATCCAGTTTGTGTCATCGATGCGGGCAGGGATGCAGATGCTGCGGGACCACTTCCAACATCCCGTGGTCATCCCACAGAACCGTCCACTCTCCAGCGGCGAGATACTTGGATGCACAAGCCCTGTAGTGGATCCGGCGACGGTGGACCTGGTGCTCTACATCGGTGATGGAAGGTTTCACCTGGAGTCGTTTCTCATCGCTCACCCAACGCTCAACGCACTGCAATATGACCCCTACAAGAAAACGCTAACCAAGGAGAGCTACAACACAACCGAAATGCGCACGTTACGAAAGGAGGCAGTTCAAAAAGGCATGTCGGCCAACAGCTTCGCCCTTATCATGGGAACGCTTGGTCGTCAGGGCAGCCCACGTATTGTCGACCGTATTATCAAGCTGGCCGCACAACAAGGCAAGATTGTAAACCTTCTACCTAATGTCCGAAGTGTTTCCCGAAAAGCTTTCCAGGCTGCAGGACGTCGATTGCTACATTCAAGTTGCCTGCCCACGTCTTTCCATTGATTGGGGCTACGCCTTCGACAAGCCACTGCTCTCGCCCTACGAGGCAGAGGTGGCACTTAAAGGTGTAAGGTGGTATGACACGGCGTACCCCATGGACCATTACTCCAAGAATGGTGGCCGCTGGGCGGTATACACGGATAAGTCACTCTAGTGAAGCAGCTCCAATAATTCAACAATATAATTCAGTTTATGTTACCTCTTCTCACCACAACACGCACTTCGCAACTTAGCTACAAAGCAAATGAACAAAAAACAACAACACCAAAAAACATTAACATAAAGAGGCATTGAGAACACTTTACGTATCACTAATCATTATTTCCTTTTCTGTTATTGTTTACGCAAGCTGACATATAGCAGAAAGTTAAAGTTTCACC